TAAATGATCAATGAATATAAAACTAATATTTAATTGAGGCAACAATTATTACTTTTTATTTTATTTATCAAACAATAAATATAAGAACATATCATTAACATATAACTCATCACTTCTTTCTATATCATTTGTTTATTACTCACTCATTTGTTATCTCTTCTTTATTCAAAATAGTAGAAAGTGGATAAAAGAATATCTAGATAGTTGTTAAAACTCAATTACATGTGTTGTTTTATTGTTATATATGATGATTTACTGAAAGAAAATTAGCAAAGAAAAAATGCATCTAAATAATTTACAAAAAAGAAAAAAGATGCAAAAAAATTTGCATCAATAGAATATTCAAATTATTATATTTTGCTCCTAAAAAAATAAAAAAATAAAAAGTATGATAAATACAGAATATGTAAATAGTTATGTTTATATTTTATAATCATTTGTATTCATTTTGTATGAAATATTAATGAAATAGATTATTTGATGAATCATATTTAATTATTTTTATTATGTTATTATTATGTTATTTATCTATCGTATTTTTATATTTATTTCTCTGTTTATATTATTTATCTATCATCTTCTTATTATCTATATATGATTATATTATTATATTCTTCTTATTTTATTATTTTTATGTTTATATTCTTTAGATTTTCTTATTGTTATTCTTTTATATTTAAATGTATTTTATTATTTGTTTATTCATCTTTATCATTTTTATATTCTTATCATTTTTATATTATTATCATTTATATCTATTTTCATTTTATATTTATTCTCTTTTGATTTGTATTAATATTAATTTTATCTTTTATACTTTTTATTTATTATTATATCATTGATTATCATTTCTCCTTTTATTTATCATTTATTCTTATTATTCTTTTGTTTTATAATCTATATCATATATTCATATCATTTTCATTTATATTTTATCATTTATTATATGTTATAATAACATAACACTTATGATTGAATATATAATAAATATCATGATGAAATTATACATATAAATAATAAACATAAAACGAGTAAAATATTTTTCAATAATAAAATAATGTTAATCATTTTACATAATTAAATTAGACACTTTTTATTGAATATTTCTAATTTTTACATTAAAAAATACACTTTTTATTTCTTCTTTTCTTCTTTTATTACATCTTTGTGTTTTATTGCTCTTTATCTTCTTTATTTTTATCTTCTTCTACTTTCTACTTTTATTTTCTTCTTTCATCATTTTCCTTTTATTCTTTTATATCTTTCTCTTCATTTTTCTATTATTTGCTTTTTTCATTGCCAATTTCAATTAGTATAAAAATAAACAATGTTAATATTTTACAGAATTAATTCTAATAACACACTATAACATTAATAAAACAATAAAATTATAATAGAAATGAATTTATATTGAAATAAAATATGTTAAATCAATACAATAATCAACACCCGATATTTATATTATCTAATTGTTGGTATATTTATTATTTATTGAATTTTATATTCATTTATTTTAAATAATTATAATTTAATATTTTTATTCAATTTATTTTATTCTTGTAATATAAAACACAAAGACTTATACTATCTCTACTATCTCCATTATGTTAAATCTTATTATTATTTACATTTTATTAAATATGCAACTATTAATATTGTTATTTGTTTATTAAATGAAGTATTTGAATATTTAATAATATTATTTATTGTATTTTATTAAAAAGAATAATAAAAGTGATTTGTATCAATTTAAATCTCATAGATATAATAAAGAATAGAAAAGTTGAGATAGAGAATCATAATATTTTTGAATGTTATGAGAATTAATTCTTGATAATTTATAATGTTAGATAACGATTTAAGTCTATTTAAATAATTAAATTAACAAAGAAATAAGACGTAATAAAATTAATTATCATTTCTTATTGTGATAAAAGATAAACCTGAATTATGATAAACAGTAGTTTGAAATTAAATAAAAAATAAAGATAAGAAAAAGTGAAAACATTATTATTCAATTAAACTAAGTCAATATTATTTTATTAATTATATTTTATTTATATAACATAATTAACTAAACAAAAAAGAAGTAAATTATTTAAATATTGATATTTGAATAGAATATAATGAGGAGTATATTATTGACAAATAAAATAAATAAGAGATTGGTTCATCTTTCCCAACTCTCGCACTTTTGACAAGCACAAATCTGGCTAATGCCAGTAAATGCCCAAAAGCACTGGTCTACAATAAATACTTTGGTATTACCCTAAGCTTTATTTTCAACCTCGGTTCTTGGTACTAAACTCTCTTCTCTCTTATTTATCTATTTGTATTTTTTGTATTAATTATGAAAATATTAATTATGTTTTACTTAATAATTAATATTTCATCTGTCCGAAATGTGAGTATTTCATGTTCTTTAATCCATTTTATTCTTTTTCAAAGTTCATCAACTTATTTGTTTCTTCATTTAACTTGTTATTTTGAATTTAATGTGTATTAAATCTCATCATTCTTTATTGTCTTATTTTGAATATATTAATATCACTATGATTATCATATTTCATCATCATTCATTTTTCTTTCATTTTTCTTAACAATACTTTATATATTCAACAAAATTCAATATTTATTAAATATACTTACATTTAACTCATTAATTAATACAATCATATTAATTACATCATTATTATTTATTCTTATTAAATAGTATTAAA